CCTATAACTCCTATATATATCTCTCATGTATTCCCTTATTAGTTCAACACTTCAATACAATCAATATTCCTTCACTCTTAAACAATGTTGATTTTTAGAATGTCATTTCTGTTAATTCCCTATAATTTCCTTGCATTGAAGTTATATAATTTATATTAACCCAACTCACACATAGTCCTTTTTATACTTACCTATAAGATAAGAAAATATATGATGATTTTTCAAGTGTTTAACATAAATATGAGGACTAAGAGCCTGTTTGGATTGACTTATTTAGTTCCTTTTAACGTCAAAATAATTTTGAAGTATTTTGATAAAAAAATATTTATATGTACTGATAAGATTTATGTAATTGAAACAATTTATGCCATGTGCTATGCCGTTCAATTTACCATAACATGTGGTTTGCTTCAACCTTGATTATTAACCATTGCTGTTAATTTCATTTGTTTGAGTCATTTTCACTCTGATGATGGACTAACATGCTAAACTAAATTTTATATTTTTGGCACTTCTTTTTCTTCTATGAACTATTTTTGTACATACATGAGCACACCCATTTTCTGTTTTTTCTTTGTATCTTATAAATAAAAATTCATTTGTTAAACAAAATGTAGACACTAAGACAAATTGATCCTCATAGAACTAAGAGTGCGAGTTTTTGAGTCTATCAGCTTCAATAGGGCCTACCACAACAAGTCTTGAGAACTCTACCAGCCAGTTTACAATATGGCAAAGGCACTGATCTGCTACACCAATCTTATAAGTTCTGTGTTTTTTCATGTGTCACTTTTCTAATTTTTTTGTTCCCTATTACTTTATTATCCTTTGTGATCAAATGAGACCGCTTCTTAGCGCGGAACAGAGAATCAAAGGTTACTATATATTTTACGATTTCATATATTTTGATCAGCCCAAAATACTACTGCCGAAGAAAAATGCGTTGGTAGTTTTTATATATAAGCAACTCATTCAATCATGTGATAAAATCTACCATAAATTTTACATAATAATGTAACTGATAAATAAATTTCTGTATTTTTTTGTGGCATTTATAAATTGACATGACCTCTTTTTGACAGAGTTTACTTGATTCTCTGAAGAATGAGTTTGATTCTGCTTATGACATTAGGCGAATAAGTGATAGGATGATTTATAAGTTTTTTTTTCCCCAGACTATGGATAAGAGTCCTTTAAACATCAATTGTGAAGGTTGTAGTGCTTTTTACATTGATATTACCTAAGGAATTTCTTTATTTTATTCAGTTGGTAATAACGTGTTTATTTTTGACAACTCCTAAATATCTACTTTGAGCTGCTCTTATAGAAAAATTGTTGTCGTGGTTTGATTTTATCAAATCATTAGCATTGTTGGGCCCATGCTCAGATCTGGTCATGCCCCTTTAGTGTACTAAATAAATAGGCAATGCATTGCAAGATGTCTCATTAGGGAAAAATAATCATCTCAAGAAGCTTAAAATCTCACATGTAAAAAAAAAAGTAATTAAGGGATTGCGAGATGTCTAATTAGAGATAAATAAAATTTTAAGAAATTTTGAAAATTTCAAATATAAATGAATAACTAAAGCATTGTGAGATGTCTCATTAGAGACAAATGAGATTAAGATAGACTTATTATAGGGCACACTAACCCAAAACGTCTTACTTGAAGGTGGACAAATCTTATATATTCAATTTTACGGTGATTGAGCCCATTCTATTTTAGGGTGGAAGGACCCAATGTATCCTATTTGAGAATGGATAAACCAGATGTGTTCCATTTGAGGGTGGACAAACTCAATATATCCTGTTTGAGGATGTATAAATCCTGTATGTCCCATTTGATGGTATACTAACCCAGAACATCCAATTAAAGTGTGGAAGAACCCAATATATCCTATTTTGGTGTCACGCCACGAAGCTATCCCCAGGACAAGGACACCATGTCACGATCCAAAAATGAATGTGATGACACTCGTCTTATTCACCAAGACAAGTCAGCCTAAAACTCTTAACCATTACACTAATTAAAATGAGGAAATTTTATAATAAGCTCAAAAATACCTCAAAATCTAGTTGTCACGTGTACAAGTCTCTAAAATATTACAATTGATTCAAAAGAAAATACTAGTCTCAAATGAACTTGTTTCTAGAATAGAACAAGATCATAACTCATAAGGAAGAAAGTCCGCTAAGACAATAAACAACTACCTCACAAATCTTTAAGAAGTCTCGGAAAAGAAGAGAATGATAAGTACCACAAAAATCCAGGCTCGTAACCTACAAAAATTTGTAGAGGCAAGGGGTGAGTACCAAACCACACGGTAATCAACAAGTATATCCCTAAACACAAGCTAATAGAACAGAATACGAGTACTCTTTACACCCCATCCGAACCTCCACAACTACAACCTGTATAAAAATCAACCCAACCTAACGGTTCACAGTTTACAAAATACATAGCTCAACAAAAACACTCTAATAACTTCATATCCTCAACAACAACCCTCTAACAATTTCATATCCTTTACAACAATAGTCTAACAATTTCATATCCTAAATAACTACACTCGAACAATTGCATATCTTCAACAACAGACTAATATTCATCAGTCACAGGTTCCCCAAAAAGGTACTCACAAGATCAGTAACACACAAGATCAAGTTCACCAATAATAAAGAAGTGCAATGTCAAGTATAGTGATGCATGTCTAACCTAATGATACACACCCACTGTCTCTTAGTTCGAGACCCATGGGGGACATATCGGTCCATGCATCTGTCACAGCGCACGACATGACCCTCGATAATAGTAACCATATCGGCGTGCAATACATCCCCTCGATATATAGTATCCATCGTGACGTGCGATACGTCCCTCAAAATATAGTATCCATCGCGGCGCGCAATACGTCCCTTTAAATGGTGCATCATCTTTAGTTTCTTATTCTTTTCTAATGCACATAGCACTTGTCAAAACTACCTCAAAATAATGCAAATGACTTGTTCACACAAACAATGACGAGATGATCATTCTCATAACAAGACACAATTCACAACAATACAACAATTATTCAACAAGCCTTTCAAATCATTATCCATTATCAACACATCACACAAACAATTAATCACATTGCCTTTTATTGGCCTTTTTTTTCATTATTAGAATTAATCAATGTGGACAAGTCAATCCGTTACCAAGTCCCGTTACTTCCAAACATATACCACAAGAAAACACACACATTTCATACACTTAACAAGGGTTTAGAAGTCCACTTGCTTCAAATAGTCAAACAATCACTCTGAGACTTGAGTCTTGCCTTTTCGTTGGACTTCCAAATCAATGCAATCTAATCAGAATATTAATCATAAGATTTGTAATTTAACAACACCCATATTAATATAATCCAATTTCTAATTCTTGATGCTCACCAATACGTTACATATCCTCCTCTTAAATTTTTAAGCCGGGGATTAAATCTAATCACCTCAAAATATCATAAATTTTACAATATTCATATCAATAAATATATTTAATATTTAATCTAATGTCTCAATATAAAAAAAACTTGTCTTATGATATGATAAAAATAACATTAAAAAAATGAGGAAGACAACGGTTTGTCTCCCCCACCCAAAAATCACCCAACAAGCATGCATACGTGCACCTTTGATCCATTTTTCTTTCTTTATCAATTCTAACTATATAATAATAATAATAATATATTATAATATTTTCATCCATTAACCATTTCATTCATTGGCCAAAAATTATGTCCTCACTTTGTTATCCACATACTCCACTAACCAATCAACAAGAATTTACACCTATACCACTATCGTTGAACTACCTAATTTCATTATATTATTATTATTTTTATTATAAAATCTATGATATGAATTCATATATTCTGTTGAGTTTGCGCATTTTCAATATCATATGAGGGAGATATGACTTTCCGTAGTTCAGCCATTTGATTGAAGAAGGTCCCAATACAAATTTAAGGAAGGGCAAACTAGTCTTTTCATTAATTAATTTTCTATTTAGTTTTAGGGAATTATTTGGGTTGAAAAAGGTTTATTTCAGTTTTAGAAAATCAAAATCACGCTTAGGGCTTGGACAAGTGAGAAAAGAATAAGGAAAGGGAGAAAAGTCAAGAATTCGCCAATAACGTCAAGGTTTGCGAGTGGAGTTCGTCGGGGTGATTCCTATCAATGTATGTGAGATATTTTCACGTTGGGTTAGTTCACCCACACACCAACTTGTCTAATTCAGCGATTTTGAGTAGATTGAATGATAATAAGTAAAGTTCTTGAAGAACATTGTTGAATTCTTGTTGGTTGAGATGTTGCATGCCTAGAGTCGATTTGATTCGTGGTTTTGGGTTATTTTTTGAGTCGAATGTATTGGGTTTTGAGGGTATTAATAATCATAAGGGTTTGGGGAAAGAACCATGGGATATTACAGGGTTTAGAGATGAAATAAATGGAGGAGAAAATTTGGAGGTTTTCTGGGCAAATCTTTGGGCGTCACGCCTACCAGAGCGTTAGAAAAGTTCCTCTAAACATTGGCCTTTGGTGCGTCGCGCCAGACAGTATGGCATAAAAACATCTCTGAAGTTTGAGTGCTGACATTTGCACCTCTCAGATCTCCAGGGACACTAATTCAACCCTTTCATTTCCCATCCGTACTAGTTCCTAAGTGATCTATCTATGTTTCCTAGTTGATTCCAACACTTTAAGGTACATCTAAACATCATGAAATAATCCATAAAAATGAGATCATGAACCTTGAATCCATAATCCAATTCAAGGAAAGTTAAGATCAAGGTGAAAGAAGTTAAGAGTCAAATCTAAAGTAAAGAAGTCAAACCAAAGTCCTTAAAGGTTTTCAAGATTTTTTTCTAAATGTTTTAACTTCGTTTTAAGTATCATGTTTCAGGATAAAGTAAAGAGTAAAAAAGTAGTAGTCTTTCCTTCAAAAGTTAAAAGGGAATTAAGTCCTCCTTAAGAGTTTGTGTAAGGCTTATGTTTTCAAGTTAAGTAAAAAGTAAGAAGTTTTTCATTTCTCAAAAGCTATAAGGAAAGTAAGTATTCCCTAGAAAGTTTATAAATGTTTTCACATTAAGAGGAAACTAAGATCTCCTGAAAGAGTTCTAAACAAGAAAAGGGAACATTGATTCTAAGAGATCTTTTTAGAGGGAAGTGTTGAGCAACTATCCCAACCCAAAGAAATGAAGTTGATTTTGAAATCATGAGCTAAAGTATATCTTGGGAGTAGTATTGAGAACCAATGTGGGGATGAGAGTTCATATTAACTCAAGTCTCCATGTAAACCATGTAGCGATAATGGGTAATAATGGGTCATACTTTTTAGATGATCACTTAATTTAAGCTAGTGGATATACTAAGTTAAGAAATTCTATGCGACGACAAAAGTATAAGATTATTCTGGCAACATGAGAAAGACGTTGTATCACCACTTAGGCTCGTAGTGGATGTTGTCGGTTAGAAAATCTCCCATGGAAACTATAATTCTTTCATATATATAAGTAAAATTGTGTTTTTATTGCATTTTCTTTAATGAACTAAGCTGTTTACACTATTTTACAAGCTTGATATCTATTGCATGTGTCTTTATTGCTTTAGAACAAGTATAATATTTCATAAGTTAAGTAGAGCTAAGGTAAGTTTTTCTTCTTATTCTTTTCGAGCTTAAGTTGTTGTTTAGCATTCCAAGTCGCATAATCATACATTCAATTTATCGATGCCAGTTGACCTGCTGTGTCGTATGATAGAGACGCATGTTACCAGGATTAGCATCCAGCGCCTCGTTGATCCAGTTTGAGCACTCAGAGTCAATGGTAAGCCTGCTTGCATTTTGGGGGACTCTTTTATTGTTTTATTGTCTTTTCATTTATAAAATGTTGCGGGATTTGTCCCAACATTCATGTTAGTATTATAGAGGCTTCATAGAACATATAGTCAGTCAGATAGACTTAAGAGTCATCGTATCCAAGCTATTTTAATTCAAGTTATTTTATGAGAATGTCTTCTTATATGGAGTTATGTAATCCAGGACAAGGGTCCGCTTAAGGTCAACAATGATTATTGTGTTCCGGCCACATCCAGAGTGTAGGCTAGTAACTTTTTCAACTATCACCCAAATGGATTTATGTTGTCTCTGAGTACGTGGTATACCTCTATTGAAGTCCATGTTGGTCACTTACCACTTACAATTAGGGATGTTTCTCTCTTGAGTCATACATACT